GGTGCTGAAGAAAGATCATTTGTGTAAATGCTAAATAAAAGTGGTCCCAGTATACTTCCCTGCGGAACGCACAATCTGAATTATTTTCCTGTTATGCACCCCTTTCATTACTGTGCCTTTCATTATTAACATTTGAGGTTTGAAGTTTAAAACTTAAACGTATCAGTTTACGCTGCCATTAGTAGTAATTGTGATAAAAACCAATTGACCCTGGAAAAGAAAGGAAAGAAAATGGATTGAAATCAATCAAATGATCTTTTGAAGCTGTTAAAACACTGCCCTTATATAATTTATTGATGGCAGTATAAAGTGCAAACACTGGTTGGGTTTTTAAGATCGCAATTCAGATGTCATTCAATGGCCTGTATACTCTATTTGAACAAGTACCCCACATCTTGGCACAGTGTATGTACTGTACATGTATGCTCTTGCCACAATGTAAAAAGGCACTGAACAGAATTACATTTAACAACACTTTTCACAGGAGAGGGTCCCCATTACCAGCTTGCCCAAGTATGCTCAACCAGCATTTGAAGGATACGAGACCTTGAACAGAATCCAGAGTCGACTGAGCAACACTGCACTTAACACTGATGAGAATCTGTTACTATGTGCACCAACTGGGGCTGGTAAAACCAATGTTGCATTGTTGACCATCTTGAGAGAAGTTGGCAAACACATCAACCTTGATGGAACCATCAACTTAGAGGAATTCAAAGCTATCTATGTGGCACCCATGAAATCTCTTGTACAGGAAATGGTTGCCAATTTCACCAAGGTAAGTTGAATCTAACAGCTAGGTAGCAAGGTATCACTCTTCTGTGACAAGGTGCATGCAGTGCACTGTCGCTCACCCTGGCTTGCAATGCCCTGTACACTGTACATGTATGCAAAGTTGTGGTGCAGATGATGCTTAATACTTTAATTAAGAGTGCTGACATCTAGCTTCTGTCCAAATGCTGAGGTACTTTAATGCTCACTAACATGCAGATCTAAGAGGACGTGCAGTAGCCTCATGGCTAGTGCATTACTTGTCTCTGGATTAAGCAGTCTGGGTTCGAGCCCTGGCGGTGGTTATTGCATTGTGTTCTTGGATGAGACACTGCTCACGGTGCCTTTTTCCACTTAGGTGTTTAAATGGGTCCCGGCAAACATAATGCTGGGAGTAACCCTGTGATGGACTACATGTAGCATCCCATCCAGGGANAATGCTGGGGGATAAGCCTGCGATGGACTAACATCTCATCCAAAGGCAGTAGAAATACTTCTAGCCGCTTCGTGCTGCAGAAACCGGGATAAGCTCCGGCCTGATGGGCTACTTGGCTCACATGCAGACTTTACCTTACATGTAGATCCAAGCCATTTGTGTCAAAACTAAAACTGTTTCTATTATCTACAGAGGCTCAGCACATATGGTGTTACAGTCTCGGAATTAACAGGAGACCACAACCTTAATAAAGAACAGATTAATAGCACTCAAGTCATTGTCTGTACCCCTGAGAAATGGGACATCATCACACGCAAGGGAGGGGAGAGGACTTTCACTCAACTTGTCCGTCTGATTATCATCGATGAAATCCATCTTCTTCACGATGACCGAGGGCCAGTGTTAGAGTCACTTGTTGCCCGTACCATTCGGCAGATTGAGACCACTCAAGAGCTGGTACGGCTGGTTGGGTTGAGTGCCACCTTACCAAATTATGAAGATGTGGCAACGTTTATGCGCGTGAATCCTGCAAAGGGTCTCTTCTTCTTTGATAACAGTTTTAGGCCTGTTCCATTGGAGCAGCAGTATATTGGTATTACAGAGAAGAAACCAATGAAGAGATTGCAGGTTTGTCAACATTTCCATGCTTAAAAGATCAATTCTCATTACTGGTCACCAGTTTTATCTTCTAATCTTGGTTCTGAGAATCTGACTTGCTCATTATCTTGATGTCAGGAGCTTTGAGTCCAAAAGGAGTCGGTTTCTCTGCAATCCTCTTAGATTATCACTAATCCAAAGTGTCAAATTCCTGGATACTAATCACAAGTATTCAGGGTCGAGTCTTTGGAACATAAAATATTCAAATGGCCACTGTTGATAGTTTAGATACCAACTCTGCTATCCAAAGCTGTTTGAAGACAATGTACTTTTAAATCTACAGTAAGCCTGGCAAGTCTTGGCTCATCATTATGATGCTGTTTTCATGCAGTTTTACCATTAATTACTATTTTTTACTATTCCAGGTGATGAATGACATTGTGTATGAAAAAGTCATTGAACATGCTGGAAAGAACCAAGTGCTGATTTTTGTACACTCAAGGAAAGAGACAAGTAAAACAGCGCGAGCCATCAGAGACCTGTGTCTTGAGAGAGACACTTTGGGACATTTCTTGAGGGAAGACTCTGCAAGTACTGAAGTGCTTAGGTAAGGCCATGCATGGTCCTGAGTCTTGTTAAAAAGGATTTCTTGATTTTTATAAGAACTAATAACTGGATATATACAGTGTGAGCATTACAGGGCTGGAAATACTATATACAGTATTATGTAGCAGGACATGTGTTCTTTTGATCTCTATTTTGGCTAGAGGTATTAAAAATTTGGTCTCACAAAAATTATGTTTTTTGCACACACAAATAATGTGATACCTCAATCAAAGCAATATGAATGCCTAGAACAGAGCTTCCTCAACAATTTTTCAGATTGACTATGATATTCTATTGAGCAGGGAAGAATATATTCTAGCATGTGCTCTGGACAAGCTCCATTTTATGCACGTGACCTCTCTCACGCTTTGAAAATTTGTTAACAATTTGTTTCATCCTCCTTCATTCAGAACTGAAGCTGAACAAGCTGTGAACCTGGAGCTGAAGGACCTGCTTCCTTACGGGTTTGCCATTCATCATGCAGGTATGACCAGAGTTGATAGAACCCTGGTGGAAGATCTCTTTGCTGACCGGCACATCCAAGTGTTAGTTTCCACTGCAACATTAGCCTGGGGTGTGAACTTGCCAGCACACACTGTGATCATTAAGGGAACTCAGGTTAGTATTCTGTTTACTTTACTTTTAATTTGGAGATTGTACCAAATTCAATACAAATCAAATCATTTGGAGTGTGCAAAAAAAAAAAAAAAAAAAAAAATTACTNAAAAAAAAAAAAAAAAAAAAGAAATTACTTTAAGAAGGGGTTTCATTAATGTTTTTAGCAGAAGGGCAACTGGTTTACACAGGTGGGCAAAACTTTTTGAACTGAACTTTCTCTATATGATTAAACCAGGCAGGCAAAATCATCCCCACAGCCAGTCAATTTGCCTGTTGCCTGGCTGTCAACAAAACACCTGTTTTAGGCAAGGTAGCCATGTGGGTTTTATTAGCTTTGTATAGTTTAACGTGCTAAAATAGAATGAAATTGTAATGAATGTGTGCTTGTGTTAACAGCAATTCATAAAAATTGAAATGTTATGCAAACGACTTGAAACAAACAGTTGAATTTTTAAAAAGTCATCGGAAGTTTATCATCTGGTTTAACAAGTGTTGTTCTTAATATCAGATCTACAATCCCGAGAAGGGACGTTGGGTGGAGCTTGGTGCATTGGATGTGATGCAGATGTTGGGACGTGCTGGTCGGCCCCAATATGATACGAAGGGGGAGGGCATTTTGATTACCAGCCATGGCGAGCTCCAGTACTACCTCTCACTCATGAACCAGCAGGTAAGACAGTACTTAGTTTGCTGTAGACATGGGGCTTGACAAATCTGAGTTGAGAAATCCAGAAAAAAAGACCAGTAGTCTAGACCTGGAAAAAGTGTGGAAAATGAATTTAATGTGTACAAAATGTCCCTGATATGGTCTGAACTCCTGGTCCTTGCTGTTTAATCAAATATACTTTTCTGAGTTTGATGTTCTGAAGTACAGTTTAACAGCGAGTCTTCAAAGAGACAAAAATGTACAAAACAAAAAATTATATTGACCGTATTAATTTGATTATATGCACATACAGTAATACAGTATGTAACATCTTCACTTTACTGCACTTTGTCAGTTTACTTAATTAATTCAAAGTGTAGTTGTTACAATGTATGTCGCATCTGTCAATATTTTTATTGCATGCCATCTAAATGTCTAACGTGATTTATTTTCCTGTAGCTGCCCATTGAAAGCCAGTTTATCGGCAAACTAGCAGACAACCTTAATGCTGAAATTGTGCTTGGAACTGTGCAGAATGCTAAGGAGGCTGTGCATTGGCTAGGTAAGGCATTGTGATGTAAGGTTGATCAATTTAGGATTTCCTCTTTAATACTCGGTCAGTTCATTTTTGAGCAGTGCAGTGCTGAGAAAATGGATATTCATTAACTTGGGTTGATGGTTATTGACTTAATTTCTCTTTAAACTTTTGGAAGTAACATTGAAAGAGATGTAGGGCAGCCAGAGTGGTTTGTGCTGCATTCCAGATTAAGCAGCCCACATATTCCTAGTTGAGTCTGTGTTACTGAAGTTGGCGAGTTAGTCAATACACACTCTGGCCTAAGGGCTGACCAAGTGCTGACCTTTCTTCCAATTACCGTTGGATGAAAAAAGAACTTTATAACCACAATTATTTCCCTAGTAGGGACCTTGTGTTACATGAGATTCAATATTCAATTTACATGTACATGTACGAGTTCATTTTTTGAGTCACTGGAGATACATGTAAGCAGCAATGCTATCGAGCCTCTTGCTGCATCCAGCCATCTTGGATTGTACAGAAACAGGCTTCATCTAACCCTCACCTGCTGTTTAGGTTGCCTGTGAGAGGGATCAAGTAGTCACATTTTTGGCTGTTTTCCTGTTTCAGGGTATACCTACCTTTATATCAGAATGCTGAGAAATCCTTCGTTGTATGGCATAACTCATGACGAGATTGAAAAAGACCCCCTTCTTGAACAGGTATGGATCCGATTAATCCAATAGATAGATGCCAATTGGCTTTTGACTTAACATTGCACAGAGCAGAGTAAGCTTATTTGAGATTAACAGCGTTCTCACCCCCAGATGCTTCAGAATTGTGAGCTCTGGTCGGACTTGATTTTCTGAGCAAGTGCAGAGTATTATTTTGTTTCGTATTCTCAGCCAACCAGATTTGTCAGATTTGAAGGGAAGTCCATGAATCAAGGGCTTCTGGTGTTGGACCCACCCAGAGGTCATAATTCTTGTTGCTGACCTTAAGGATTGTGGCCTCTGGGGACAAAAGTGGATCAACAGAGACTGTCCTGTCTTGTGCAGTTCCAGCGATTTCCTTCCACGTCAAGCTATTGAACCTAGACTGCCAACTGTTTAGTGCAAATGTAGTTATTATAAAAGACAGGTTTTAGATTTGCCTACTGTAAACAATGGTTTCTATTTTCTTTTTATTCAGCGAAGAGCAGATCTGATTCATTCAGCAGCCACACAGCTAGACAAAAACAACCTAGTGAAATATGACAAGAAATCTGGAAACTTCCAGGTTAGTAACGACACTTTGTTTGGTAGTTTGGCATCAACAACAATAGCTGCCAACTTTGGTTTTGTTTTCAGCTCTTCTTTACTAATTTGTATTTCGCGGTAACTGTTTTCTTAGGTTACAGAGCTGGGACGCATTGCCAGTCATTACTATTGCACACAGGAAACCATAGCAACCTACAACAGTCTGTTGAAACCCACTCTTAGCGAGATTGAGTTGTTCAGAGTTTTCTCACTGTCATCGGAGTTCAAGTATATCACAGTGAGAGAGGTAGAGAACAAAAATTAAAACTTACATTATTTGTTTTATGGTTCTAAGTTGAATGGTGGGAAAATTATGTTAAATAACGATGCTGGTCACAAGCTTAAAAGTTGAAAACCTTTTTGCTAATTTGATGGATCATTTTTGATGTTCTGAGAATTTGGCGTCAGTATCCCTTTTTTGATGAGTTTTGTAATTCTCATTACTTGTCTGCTTGATAATCATTTGAAATTGTTAGGAGAAAATGGATGCAGATCACTCACAAATGAGATGTTTGCAGGCCAAGTTGAAACGTGAAACCTTCATTTCTTTGCAAGTATAAAAGCCGATAAATTCTTCCTGTTTAAGAAAACAAAGAAAGAAACAAAATTAAAGAAATTTGCAATATTTAGAGAGAAAGCCACATCAAATCTATCTGGTTTTCACTCGGGTCCTCTATCCTGGTCGATTTGGAATTTGGAGATGTTGGTTTTGTGTAGGGAGGAAAACCGGAGCACCGAGACAAAAACGCTCGGAGCAAGGAGAGAACCCGCAACAAACTAAGCCTACATAAATTATGGCACAAGGACGGAATTAAAGAATCTAAGGAAAAGCTGCTGTAAAGGGTTAATTAAACTGAATGGTTTTAAACAGTGAAGTAATGGCTTTGGCTCTGGAAATGATGAATGTCAGCCACATTCTTGTTTTGTGTTTTTGCACACTAAGGAAGAGAAGCTGGAACTCAACAAGTTGTTGGAGCGTGTTCCAATTCCTGTCAAAGAGAGTATTGAAGAACCAAGTGCAAAGGTAAACTCTCATATTGGCTAGTCGCTCAAGCATTTGCAGGTGTATGAGTTTGGCGGAGGTTTTGCAACTGAAATTTAACGTGAATTCGCACGTTTGGCACTGAAGTTTTCATGAAGTGCACAGCTCTTAGAATTACCTACAATCTTATTTTGTTCCAAATGTCCTACAACTGTCTTCTCTGGTGAGCAAGTTAACGACTTAGCTATTTATTAACATGAAGTTGGTAAAGGTACATTAATGGCTGTAGCCAATTTGGAAAGCTGGCGTTCAGAGCATTATATCAAAATGCACTTTGAAGTAACAATTCCATGCCCTGCTGTGTAAGGTTATGGATACAGTCGTGAATTTTGTCTAGACTAACAAACAATAACAAAACTTTATTCAGTAAGTATGGGTAGGTAATCGGACGGTATACATAGGACGGTATATCGTGAATTAAGTATTGTGGGAACCCAAAGTGTCAAATTCCTGGATGCTTCTCTATGGTGCACAGGGTCGAGTCTTTGGAACAGTCACGTTCAGATAGTGAATTGTTGGCAGATGAGAATTAAACTCTCACTGCTTTTAAGTTATCTGACAACATACCTACATGTCGTCTACGCAAGGCTCGATCGAGCAGCCATGCGTTGGGTGTTGATGAACAGATTCACCAGGCTCTACTGCAACCATTAATGTTCTTTTTGTATGTTAGGTTAATGTGTTACTCCAAGCCTACATTTCTCATTTGAAGCTGGAAGGCTTTGCTTTGATGTCTGATATGGTGTACGTCACACAGGTGAGTCATTAATGATAATTTCACTAATAAATGAGAATTTATTCATGTTTCTGTTAACGTAAAGGATATAGAGTTGTGGGAGTAGAGAAAGGATACTCCAAGCTTTATCATTCTTTACCAAACTCCTATCCAAAGGAGAGACAGTGCCAAGACTGCTTTGTTTCCAGTTTAAGCGATTAATTTGTTTGTTACTCCGCGGTGAACCTTTGATAATTAGCCTTACGGCTTGAACCGGAAGGACTCAGTTATGGGTGGGTAATTCCACTGTCCGTTTTCAGTTTTCCTGTGCACGACCATAAAAAGCAAAAAAAGATTTGCTAAAGTTCTAACCTCCTTGCTCTCTTCGCAGTCTTCTGGTCGACTGATGAGAGCCATCTTTGAGATTGTGTTGAACCGTGGTTGGGCGCAACTGGCTGACAAGAGTGTGAACCTGTGCAAAATGATCGACAAGAGAATGTAAGTGAATGGTGTTGCGCGACTGTTGTATGTTGCGGTGATCGGAATTTCCGCTATAGAGAAACGAAAGCGTTCCGTGGTTTCGCTTTTTAAAATATACTGATGAATTTGCTCATGTGCACAGTTTGAAGTCCCCCGGTGACGTAGTCCAGAGATATTGCCTTGTAATGTATCTTACTGTTGCAGTTGAAAAGACTGCATTGGTGCGAAGTTCAATTCACGGTTTATCGAGGTTTAACAATGTTTTATAATTTAACGTCACATTTTGGCTAACCTGACACCCAGCAAAATTGAAGATGTGCATTTCAACTGGTAGTTTGAGATCATGCGCTACATGTACTTTGCTTAGTTGTAGCTATATTAAAATGATATTCAAGTGAAAAATTTCACTAACAATGTTTTGAAATTCAAGGTGGCTTTCAATGAGTCCGTTACGGCAGTTCAAGAAAATTCCTATGGAAGTCATCAAGAGAATCGAGAAGAAAGAATTCCCCTGGGAGCGCTACTATGACCTGGGACCCACCGAGATTGGGGAGCTGGTGCACATGCCCAAAATGGGGAAAACGCTGTACAAGTTTGTACATCAGTTGCCAAAGATGGAACTAGCGACGCACATTCAGCCAATTACGAGGTAGAGTGCAGTGTAAAAGAAGTTCTTTTTGTGAGGGTCAAATGTATTTACCACTGTTGTGGTAATTACGGACACTGTAAATAAAATTAATAACCAAATATTGCAAATAGAACATAAACTATTAAGAATCCCAGCTGGTGGGAGGCTGACCGGTTGGTCGTTACACAACGCGGTTGAGGAGTTGAACTCGGAACTACATGAACCGCGAACAAATCCAGATACTCGAAGGGCGGAGGATTTCAGGGACCTCCCGATTTCAAATCCAGCACCCTAAACCACTCGGCCACGCTGCCTCCCTTAAGGTCCATGATTGAGGATGTTGAAGAAGTTTGAGTCAAGTGTTGATCTAGCTGCATGGAAATTATATATTTTTATTACAAATCTGCAAGTGTAGGTCACCAGTAGCTGTCTGTGCTCTTCTGAATTACGTGAATCGTGTATATCTTTTCAGATCCACATTAAGCGTGGAACTTGTGATCACCCCTGACTTTCAGTGGGACGAGAAGATTCATGGAAACTCAGAGGCAATGTGGATTTTTGTGGAAGATGTTGACAGTGAAATCATCTTGCATCATGAGTACTTTTTGCTGAAGAGCAAGTTTGCCTCCGATGAACATACACTGAAGTTCTTTGTGCCTGTATTCGAGCCGCTGCCACCTCAGTATTTCATCAGGATTGTGTCAGACAAGTGGCTTGGTGAGTGACTTCAACGTACAAATTCTCATTACTAAACTCCTTATACTTCTTATAGAACTAGTGAGAAGAATTGGGTTACTGATATGGACCATGCTAACCTTTTGAGACAATTTTCCTCTGATGGCTTAATGGCTAATTATTATCAATATACGCGGCCAAATTGAAAACCGCCCTCTTGAAAACACGCGCTTTGCGGGCCGCAAATGACTCCTAGCGGGCCGTTAATGTATTAACGGCCCTGCAGCTGATTGGTTCTCGGTTCATCATCCGKTGAATATTAACCAATCAGGTTACGTTTATTGACGCGGGAAAACCATTCAGGTGCGAACAGCTTGCGTAGTGAACGTTTGCCGTTTGGAAATTTCATTTTAAAAGGGAAGAACTCCCAAATTTTCAGCTTTTTGCTAGTCAAAACTCGGACTTAGACAACGAGCAACTGGATGAGATTGAGCAAAAAGCTCAAGCGAAAAACACCAAGAGAGCAACTGAGTGGGGAGTAAAAAAGTTCGAGAAATGGTGTGAGAAAAGAAAAATTACAGTGGATCTCAAAACAGTAAGTGCAACGGACTTGAGTGAAATTCATAGTTTCATGCTACATCTCTGTTAAACATTTTTTTCTTATTAAATGAATTTGTACGATTTGGCCTTGTGTATTGATAATAATGATAATCGCATGACTTTTGTCGGTCATATAGTTTATTTGTGTCCCTCGTAGCATCATTTGCGCCCTTGCGCTTCGCGCTCGGGCGCAAATGATGCTACTCGGGCCACAAATAAACTATATGCCCTCCAAAAGTCATGTGATTGTCCTATTAATGGCGAGGTTCATGAGATTCTTTATTCGGGATTTATGCCAGAGAGCTACGTCACGGTTTGGGTATCTTTAAAAGTTTATCCTAAATTTTTCAAGTTCGTCGTTTGTAATCCGTGTCAATCTTCTCCATCCTTAACCATCCTTGTACTGTAATCTTTTTGTTTTTTTTTTTCTATCTTAGTAACCTATTACCAAACACGTACTGTAATTATGATAAAGTAATCGTTCTTTGTGCTAGAGTACAGCGCAGTTGACTTTTCTTGTTTTTCCAGGTTCTGAAACTCAGTTGCCAGTTTCCTTTCGTCATTTGATCCTGCCAGAAAAGAACCCCCCTCCCACTGAACTGCTTGATCTTCAACCTTTGCCGGTGTCTGCTCTCAGAAATCCAGCTTTTGAGAGTTTGTACAAAGACAAGTTCCCCTACTTTAACCCCATACAGACTCAAGGTGAGCGGAAATAGCAGGACTCTGCTATTTGCGTTTCGTATACCTAGACTTGAACGCGCTCTGTGTAGTGGCGTGGTTTATTAGTTGATTTAAACCAGCGGATTATTGATGCAACCAGTGATTTAAAACATACTTTTCATCCTGAATTCAACCATGTTGATGTTAGGACGGCATGAGGTTGCACATTTATTGATTATGGTTACTTATTTTCTAAGATTTGCCAGATGGCAGGTACATTGTAGAAAGACAAAAGCAGTTAAGTCCCCTACAAGGCCTAGTTACTAACCCAACAAGTCGCCCTGTTTCCCCCATATCAAACAGGTCGTACGTAAGGGGGAATAACAAATTTATTAATTACACAAATCAAGGGTAAGAATAAGACAGTTTTGAACTTCAAGAGCGCACTGCTCTATCATGATTGTTTTCCGTAGCTTTGCTTTCTTCTTGCACTGTTGAAGAACCAAGGAAAAGAAAGGGAGGGACTTAGTGCAGTTTTGATCCTACGCAATATTGTGTAAATTAAGAAAATATTTTGATAGCTAAGAGTGCAATTCAGCAAACGATTCAAATTGCTAGCCAACATTTTTGCCTGTAATCGACATTCATTCTTTTCCTCCTCTAGTTTTTAACACCATGTACAACTCAGATGAAAATGTTCTTATCGGCGCTCCCACTGGTAGTGGAAAGACCATCTGTGCCGAGTTTGCTGTGCTGCGGCTTCTTCAGCAATTACCAGAGTGCAGATGTGTATTCGTCACACCACTGCAGTCTCTGGCTGATCAGGTAAGGACTGTTCAACTAGACGAGTCTTCCCTTTAGCTCTGCGTTTTTGTGAGCTCTGTAACTGGTACAATGATATATGCAACACTCTTTTATCAAGTAGAGGAAACACGCTGTTTTTCTTCAGCAATAAATCGATCACTACGTGGCTGATGTGCGTTTTCTTGCACTTTACACCTGCGTTTTCCAGCGCTTTACACTCGCATTTTCCCGCGCTTTGCACCCGCGTTTTCCCCCGCTTTGCAATCGCTGCATTTTTTTCTTCACGTGCTGATTGGTTCATTAGACTATTTTCATTTGTTCTGATTGGCTGGGTGCGATTACTTTGTCTTTGGCCTAGTATCAGTCATCATAAAGATATGGGTGTGTATAAATGTATGCAACCAGTGATTTAAAATATAATTTTCATCCTGAATTCAACTCTGTTGATATTAGGACGGGATGAGGTTGCACATGTTTTAGTATAGAGTGGATTTCTACAAAAAAAAATGTTCAGATTAGATGTTGGGTAGATCGCGTAGAACATGTTTTTGTCAGAGCTACAATGCATTGACGAAGGGCAAAGACCTGGGATCGCCCTGCGTACAGGACCATAGAGGGGGAGGTTATTTATAATTGCTGGCGTTTAGACGTCGTCTGTTTGTTTTCCTTCAGGTGTATGCTGACTGGCAGAGTAAATTTGCACTTCAGCTCGGCAAGAACGTGGTCAAGTTGACGGGAGAAACTAGCGCCGATCTCAAACTTCTCGCTAAGGTTTGAAACAAAATTATGCATCTCAGTGAAACACGGTCGTCGATTTAGCTAACGAGTACACTGTACGATGATAGTATAAAATTGTAAATTGAAAACTCGGCTGAACGTCTACACCGAGTAGGGTATGCTACTACTCGTTTATTTCTCGTTATTAAAGCTTGTTTTATCCGTACGACGTCCTTTAAGGAGTCCATGACTGTACATGCCCTCAAAGATCCAGCCCGACCGCTTCACGTTTGATGAATTTAATCCTTCCTAATCTTCCCAAGTATTAACCATCCTTGTTCTGGTTTGGTTTATATAACTGTTATATACATGTAACGTGTCCTTTGCCGATTTGAGGTAATTTTGTATGCATGTATAACAAAATATGAAGATAAGTCCTTCGAACCCTAGCCCTTAACGTTTTGCAACGACCCTCTGTATTTTGGAATGCTCGTTTATATTAGCCTTGATGTGCAAGATTTAGGTTTCTGCACAAAAGTGCCACATTTGGACGACATTGCATTTTTTTTTTCAACTTGGTGTTTTTACTTTCTAGGGTAACGTGATCGTTAGCACGCCAGAACAGTGGGATGTGTTATCACGTCGATGGAAACAGAGAAAGAATGTACAGAACGTTCATTTGTTCATCTTGGATGAAGCTCATTTGATCGGTGGAGAATCGGGGGTAAGAAAAGACCATGCTAGTGTACAATGACTTATCTATTGCTGTTTAACAAGAAGGGGATTTACCTGTTGCTTTGTTCGTTTTATTGAAGAAATTGCCTTGTTTTACCCGAACAAACTTCGAAGAAAAGAAACCTTAGTTTCAGGCGAACAAGCATACATATATCTTCTCCATCCTTAACCATCCTTGTTCCTTTAAGGTTTATTATTATCTCTCTGGTTATTTTTCTATCTTTATAAACTAGTTTTTTGCAGGTTTCCTTCAATTTAAAGGCAACTTTGTACCTGGCTAAAGTAACTCAAAATAACGTGATATGAGTGTGATTTATTTAACTATGCCTTAGTTAGTGCCTTTATACACTGAATACACTTGTTGCGTATATAACAGTTTTTCTTCGTTTGTGATTTAGCCCGTCATGGAAGTGATCTGTTCTCGTATGAGATACATCTCGTCACAAATTGAGCGTAACATCAGGATTGTGGCGCTTAGTTCATCTCTGGCAAATGCTAAGGTTTGTGAATACGATAATAGAGAGGTTAAAAATGACAGTAAAGGAAAACGGCGAACACTGCAAAAATTGAACATTTTTCGTCTGCCTGTAGCAGTACAAGTGAGAATATTATTTTTTTGTAATGCTGTAAATAGGAGATTTTTTCTAATTTTTGTATTGGATTAAGTGAAGGATTAGAGGAAAAAATCAGAAAAATGTTTTGTCGTTTACCATAGTACGTCATTCTTAAACACTGCAGTTCTTTTATACACACTTTAGATATTATCTGCGTACTGTTGTCGTAATTAATAGAGAATTGATATATTGAGATTAGTATATTGATAAGTGTGCATGTTGTCTGCTTACAGGATGTTTCTCAGTGGCTTGGTGTTGGTCCAACTGGCTTGTTCAATTTTCATCCTAATGTAAGACCTGTGCCGCTTGAACTCCACATACAGGTAAGTACAGCACTGCGAACTTGGCAAATTGCCTAGGCCCCGTCCACAGTACGCCGGAGGAATTTAAAAACGCAACAATCACCGGTCATTGTGGATTTGTTGTTGAAAAAAACTTGGGCAGGGAAATCGTATTATTATCTTCAAGTCATCGTTTTCAATATATTTTCTGTCCGCGCGAAAACGAAAAGCCGGCGTTTTCAAATTCCTCCGGTTTGAATAGCGTTTTCGAAAAGCTCCGTTTTTCGAAACGGATTAGTGTGGACGGTAGGCCTAACCGTAGAAATAAAGCTGCGTTATCAAATTCCTCCGGCTTAGTGTGGCGAGGCGTTAGTTACTAACTCCTGTTTAGGTGCACGGAATATTTTTACGAGTCTTAAACCTTGGTAAACTATTATCGTATATTTGTCATCATTATTCTTGTTTTTCTCAGGGCTTTAACATCACTCACACGGCATCACGGTTGATAGCCATGACAAAACCTACCTACCAATCAATCGTGAAACATTCTCCTAAGAAACCAGTTATCGTTTTTGTGCCCTCAAGGAGACAGACCAAGCTTACTGCTCTGGATTTGTTGACTTTCTCTGGCGCTGAAAACGATGCACAGAGGTAAGAGTTTGAAACTTTGGTTAAAAAGATTGTTTTGGTACTTATATTAACTCGGAGGAGTCTGTTGTCTGTAGCGCGCGTGTATATGCAACAGCCTTTCAGGTATTGAGCAGTTACAACTTTTTTTGTCAGAGTTTTGACAGCCTGTTAACAAATTTTCCTTTTTGTAGGTTCTTGCACTGTACCGAGGAAGATCTTCAACCGTTTGTCAAGCGTTTAAACGACAAGGTAAGTAGCTGAAGAACACTTCTGTCACATTGTGGGCTTTTTGTTCAACCAGAAATTCCTCAACCTTCGAAACGGGGGTAAAGGGTACGGAAATTTCCTTTGAAATTTTCCAGAAAATTGTTAAATCATTCAACCAAAAATTCTGGGCGTAAAATCAAATGAAACGGACATTCCCGATCAGAGATGTTTTGAAAATTTGGGTGTAACTCGCGAGGTTGTCCTCTTTCCGAGAAATTCACCCCTGGAAATTTCTGGAAATGCAAACCAGAATTTTTGGTCGAAAGGAAACCGCCCATTGTACAAGTAACTGTTTAGTGCATGTAAGTTGCCTGAGGGTTTATCTGACTTGTTTGATTGACGTCATGTTACAATTTTGTAAAGTTATTAAAAGAGGAACAAAAAAAATTGTTTGCTCCATGGATGGGAAGTAGTGAGTTTGGGACAAATTTGCATCAGTCTAAATACGTGTGTTTTCCGCACCTTACCTTTTTTTTTCAGAAAACTGAAAACAAAAGAAGAGAAATTGCTCAATGTAACATAATACTTTATTAGAAAGGTATTGTTTTTTTCCTCAGACGTTGAAAGAGACAGTGGGTTACGGTGTGGCTTATTTACACGAGGGTCTGTCTGAGGCTGAGACCAAGATTGTGGAGCAACTGTTCAACTCGGGCGCCATACAGGTAATTGATAGAGTCATTCAGGAATTTGATGTTATTCCTGAATCTGACTCAAAATCATGTCACGATGAAGCGTGCTCAATTGCTAGGTATTGTTCGTGAAACTATCTCTATGCACCTCGTGATTTGCGAATCATTTGTATCGTTAACTCTGCGTCAAAAAGGATGACACTTTTCAAATGTTGAATATTTCCTCACCCATTGTGGTCTTGGACAAGCCAGTATCTTCTGTTGTGTCTCAAGAGTTGTTTAGAGCACTGATTCTGAAGTTTTTTCATGGCATGTCAAAATGAATCATCTGCGGTTACAGTCCAGTTCTATGTCGCTCTGCACGCGTACAACTTACCGTGACTGAATTTCGTTGTATTTGTGACAGGTGGTGGTTGTGTCACGCAATCTCGCATGGGCAGTTAACATGAGTGCACATCTGGTGATCATCATGGACACACAGTTCTACGAAGGGAAAATCCATGCGTAAGTCACACAATCAGATTCAATGAACGACGATGAGAAAGAAAGGGCATTATATCTTTCTGTGTTATTTTTAAAGGATCTTTGCTGAGCAAGACGTGACTACGATTGCGTCTTGCTCGAGTAGACTGAGCCCTCAGTGTTATCGGAGAAGGTGCTAAGCAACCGAGTATGACGTATCTTGATAGCGTCATGGTGATGTAAAATAACACGAAGCCACTTGCTTTGAGCGATAAACACCGGAAACTCTAAAAGGCTGAAAACGGTAGATTTTCTCAACTGTTTACAGTGGCTCCAGGAACCCTTCTGGCGTCACCATGTTATTTCTGCCACGAATTTTGAGACGGTGAGATGCAGGGTTAATGGAGGCGAGCTCATTCTCTTTTGATTTTTTTCTTTATAGCTATGTGGATTACCCCATCACAGACGTCTTACAGATGATTGGCAGAGCCAACAGACCATTGCTAGATGACTCGGGCAAAGCTGTCATTCTTTGTCAAGCATCGAAGAAAGAATACTTCAAGAAATTCCTTTATGAACCTCTGCCTATCGAGGTAAGTACACTTTCGTGAAACAATAGATTTGTAAATTAGGGCACTTAGACTTCTACTTAACCGTACTGAGGCCCAGAGATTACTTGTTCAAGAATAGTCGAGGCAGGTGCATACGTAAAAAATCTCCATTTACACTATTCATATAGGACAGCTTTACTTTGACCTGCATGCTTGAACTTCGTTTCCCTGTTTCAAAATGTGTTGAAGATTGTTTCATGGCCCTGTTGTCCAGTGAAGGTTAACGTACTTTCTCCTCACGGTTTCAGTCTCATTTGGATCACTGCCTTCACGATCATTTTAATGCTGAAGTGGTGACGAAGACGATCGAAAACAAGCAAGATGCAGTGGATTACTTAACATGGACTTATCTGTACCGCAGAATGACACAGAACCCAAACTACTACAACTTACAAGGTACAACGATTATCTCACGTTTTAGGAATGAGTTGAGACGCTCCCGGCTCATTGCTTAGAGGAGGACTGACTGTATTTGTGATGTAATTATTGAACAACTGTTAAAGGAGCTACGTCACGCTTTGGGCGTGAAAAGTTAAGCCTAAGTTTTTCAAGTTCGTCGTTTGTAATCCGTGTCAATCTTCTCCATCCTTAACTTTCCTTGTTCACTAATGGTTTATTATAATCTCTTTGCTGTTTTTCTATCTTAGTAAACTACTATCTCTAGGTTTTCTTCAATTGTTTAAAGGTAATTTTGTGCGTGGCCAAAATAATTCAAAATACCATGAATGAGCTCCTTTATAAGTCACGTAGTTCTTTGGACTGGATAGTCACGCAGCACTTGTCAGCGTGGCCTCGTGACAGTGTTGCATTACGATGTTAGTAACACAGATGTTAATTTTTCTTTGCCCCTTTGCAGGAGTAACTCATCGACATCTATCTGATCACATGTCAGATATGGTGGAGAATACGCTAAACGACCTGGAGCAGTCCAAGGTATAATGTTGTATATTTTATCTCAACCTCTTCCGTGGTGTCTAATACCTCCACTCAGCCAACTGGATGGCGTTTTTCCCCTGTAGATGCCCCCCCCTCCCCGCCCCCCCGTTGATGGTGTCCATATCCACAAGTCTTCCTTTTAGCTTCTCCCGTGCAGGAAGTTCCTCTTGTAGATTGTCCCCCATCCGGAGACATCTCTTTTGTAGTCTCCCCCTACTGAGCGTAGATTGAATTTGTTTTTTTCCTTCTGGCTGAACATTACGTTACTATACTGCTGTTTTTTATTGCTTATGTTTTCTGATGTTCCAGTGTTTGTCGATCGAGGAGGAGATGGATGTATCGCCGTTGAATCTTGGAATGATCGCTGCCTACTACTACATCAACTACACTACCATCGGTAAGAACCTGCTGTTTTCTTTGTTCCTCTGTGTACGTAGACAAGTTGCCACGAGCGATCTGTATGCCCATGTGACAAAAAGTCCTCTATTATCTTATTTCTTTCCGTTGATCTTGTCTTAATTGATGTTTCTTTCTTTCCATTGTATAGAGCTGTTCAGCGTCTCTCTGAATGCCAAAACCAAACTACGAGGCTTGATTGAGATCATCTCATCTGCGTATGAGTACGAGAGACTTCCCATCAGGCATCACGAGGATGCCACCTTAAAACAGGTGAGCGAGGCCTGGATCTAACACTTTTTTACCTGTTGTGAAATTGATTTGTGAGAGCTACTGTAATTTGGGGGAAAAGAAGTTGAATTTTATTTGTTTACGTGGCTGTTTTCTCTGCTTGTTTTTTTCGCTTTTCGCTTGAACGTATCTGAAGGAAAGTTGTCTCGTAGTATATCCCACGAACAACTTCTCGATGTAAAGCCAAGCGAGGCACAGTGATCCGGTGGTTAGTGAGCTGGACTCCGCATCGAGTGGTCTGGTTTCGAGCCCTGGATGAGGTGTTGTGTTCTTGGACAATACTCTTTTCTCTGACATTTAATTTGGGCGGGGGGGTGTTGCGGTAGGGGGAATTCCGTGATGGATAAATAATCCTTCAAGGGGGAGAAGCACTATTGTAGTGACGTAATGCAGAAACTCTAGTCTACTGGTTTCTGTAGTACCCAAGAAGAATAAATGAACACTGCAAGAGAATTCTGTTTTAACTGTGAGAGTAAAAGCGTTTGTGAGATTTGTGTGACCTGGAGATGTTCGTAGCTGCTTTAAGTCACGTTCAACAGAGTTGATATTAGTAACAGTTTTGTTTCATTTTATTGCGTAGCTTATGAACCGTGTGCCACATAAAGTGACGAATCCTAAATATAACGATCCACATGTCAAGACCAACCTGCTTATCCAAGCGCACATGTCCCGGATGCAGCTGTCGGCCGAGATGCAGTCGGACACAGAGACTATTCTGGGCAAGGTTAGTGATGGCTTGACTGGAGTTAAAGGAGCGAACGAACTCGAAGCGAGCGAACGAATGAACGAACGAGCTACTGAACCACGGAATGAGTAAACAGATCAACGAACGAACTAACAAGCGAACGAGCGAGCGAGCAGGAATTAGCAAGCGAGCGAAACGAGCGAACGAACTTTAACGAGCAAACGAGCGACGAACGAGGAGACGAACGAACGAACAAACGACAACATAATCGTAGGCAGAGTGCATGGACGAGAAATCTTAATCTCCGATTTGTGTTTATTTTATTTTAGATTTGATTGCTTTACAACTAAAAGTCGTACTGTTTCTAAGTTAGAAACGTCTTGAGACACTGTTGCCTCATATCGTTGATTGTTGTTGATGTTTGTCATCAGGCCATGCGTCTTGTCCAAGCCTGTGTGGATGTGTTGAGTAGCAATGGATGGCTTTCTCCTGCACTGGCCGCTATGGAGCTCGCCCAAATGGTAAGAACAATTTCCCTGGATAATGAAACATTTTCAGACATCTGCATGTGTATATCAAGCGATTTAGGATCGAACAGTCCGTGGAGAGTTATTGAAGGACAAGCTAAGGCAATACTAAATGTTCTTACAAACACGTTGGAGTTTAATTTTCACCTATTCAACCAAGCAGTGATTTAGTTCGGAATTGGATCATGTTTTTTTTTTTTATTGGAAGACAGGGGTATTCGGTATTGGTGATTTGCCCCTTACGTCAATTTGGGATTACCTTATGTAACTGGCATTAAAAATTTGTGTCCAATCCTTAGGAACAGGGGAATACTTTTTGTCTTTATTTAGGTCACACAGGCCATGTGGAGCAAAGATTCCTATCTGAAACAGATTCCTCATTTCAACCCAGAAATTATCAAACGATGCGTGGACAAGGTATGTATGGTCACATACTAGAATTTCATCCTTGAACTTGAAAGTTAGAATCATCGTATACAGCACAAAAGACAGTACCTCATGATGCTCAATAGCTTTCATGTGTATTGATCTCACAATGATAGTGGTGTTTCATTCACAAATGAGGAGTAACAGCAGTCTTACCAAAGCTGTTTTATCGTTATTACAGGGAGTGGAGTCTGTGTTTGACATCATGGACTTGGAAGATGAGGAAAGAAACAAACTACTGAGGCTGGATGACAGTCAGATGCAGGTTAGAGAGTGTAATATTAGTATTTACACGTACAACTAGTACCAGTCTGCTACTTTATAGCAGTCAAGAGCTTAGACAGTGTCTGTCTGTCTGACTGTGTGTCTGACTTTTTAACTGGGTGTCGGGCTGTGTCTGTCTGACTGACTGTCTGTCTGTCTGTCTGTCATGCAATTCAGACATTAACTTCTTGTGTGTATGAACCTGTTTGGTTGCAGGATGTGGCCAGGTTTTGTAATCGTTATCCCAACATAGAATTGTCATTTGAGGTTCATGACAAGGACAACATCACAGCGTAAGTTAACAGCAGGTGATTTGTTTACGTGTTATTTGCAACAAGGATTGTAGCTTGATTTGTGTGGTTCAATATTTTCAGGGGCGCTCCTGTGAATGTTATTGTGGACCTTGACCGAGAAGATGAGCAACCTGGCCCGGTCATTGCACCGTTCTTTCCTCAGAAGCGGGAGGAGGGCTGGTGGCTAGTTGTTGGCGACACGAAAAACAATGGGTAAGATTTCTTGATCCTCTTTTGCCCAAATGTTGTTGTACGTTCGTTTTTTTGCAAACCTTTTATGCTTCATAAGATTCCTCATTACTCAAAGGTGCCCTTGCAACAAATACATTTATATACACCTTTGAGGTAGATGAAATAATTTGTTAGGCTTTGACATACGATGAGGTAATTTATTAGGCTTTTTTTGCCGAAATGAGTCTGCGAACGAATGTAAAGTCTTAAGTCAAAATTTTGAAGTCAGAAGTCAGGCCAAAATTTTATGCGTTATTGTGGGTTTGAATGGTTTACACAATTGGGAAACCAATATTGATATGTTAAAACGTGTTGCATATTAATCATTCTAGTGAAACGCAGTTTGTTAATAAACTTCATCAAAATAACCAAAGACGATTGTTTTTTACCGTTCAGGTTGATTTCCATCAAGCGTTTAACGCTCCAACAGAAGGCCAAAGTGAAGCTGGACTTTGTAGCTCCAAGCTCGCCTGGGAACTACTCGTACACGCTGTTCTTTATGTGCGACACGTACATGGGATGCGATCAGGAATATCCGTTCAAGATTAACGTGGGAGAGGCTGTCAGTGGAGACGAGGACAGCGGAGACAGTGATGCTGAGGATTAGAGCTTAGGCTTGACAAATGACCTAAGCGATGTTTAGTATCAGGGACCCGACGATTTCCGTCGAGTTTCCGATGTGTACGTTTTTGCGTGACAACCAGAATTCGGGTGACGCAATCCATTTCCCCTGATGGTATTCATGTTTGTAAAGGTTCAAGGATGTCTACGAAAAGCAGAGTTTGGCTCTACGCTGCCACTGTACATATTTCGTCTTGCAGCTGTAACTTTAAAAGTAGAAATCGTGCCATTCCGTGTACTTTGTGTTCAGCAACGAATTGTGTCAAGATACTTCGGAACTAATGTAGAATGATTGCAGGATTTCAAAACCCATCGCAAACGTTTTAGAAAGAAACGGTTACAACCCCTCCCACCCGTCTCTTGTTGAAACACACATCACCCCACTTGACCCCAAGCAATAACGGCCAGTGCAGGCAAACCTGCAGTCAATATTCCCCTCACTTCTTTGTTACATCATTTATAGATCTGTAAAGTTTGCCTGTAGATTTTAAGAGTGCATAAAAATGGAAAAACCTTTTTACAGACTTCATGTGTGGATCTGAATTTGTCAAAGAACAAGACGATCTAAGATCGTAAGTCGAGCTGTAGCTAGACGTGCTGCTACAATTACAAGTTGTTGATCGCAGCGGTTCTAAAAATAGCACGTGTGATATGTACACGTTTGGTAATTTATAATTATACAGGACTTTGCCACTGAGTAACACATAACATAAACCCCTACAGAACAGCATTGTTTACAAGAGCAGTTGTGTTCTTCTCGGTCCCACTAACCTTTGTGTTGTAAACTCTGCTCAGGGTAAAGATTATTATTATTTCTTTATTATCCATCTCTTTAATTTGTACCAGGTCATTACAGCGATTTATTCCATTTATCTTATTTTAACTCAAAGCACTCAAACTCGTAGCAGCACGTTGTTGACCATTGGTTACCAGAATTTTCACCAAAGTACATAATATCACCTTGACTATTGTTAATATAACAAACATCGCATAACGAGACCTGATATTTCCTTTTCAACATCATTTTGTTGCACACACAACGCTGATTCATCACTCTTTTGTTGTATACATAGCGTTGCTTTGCCCAACACCTCATATTCACGTGACACCACGTTATCTGATACCAAACAAACATTCCTGCACACAACGCGCGAATGTAATGTACACACAAAAGCGACAAAACTAATGGCATTATTAGCAAAATAACAGCTTACAATGAACTCTGTTTGAGCAAAAACATAGTAAATGTAATAATCATGAAAGGGTTCACATAAAAATGACAATTAAGTGCGTTTATCTTCACTCTGATGAAAACCACTTTTGCAGTCCAACATGGCATCTTTGTTGTCGTCTCCTAGAGTTTGATCACGACGCACCTTGTCTTTATCAGCACCAAAAACTTCCGTAAATGTTCTTTTGTCGTCTGTTCATTGATAATTCATTGATATCCGACATATCTTTTCCTTTCGAATTCGACATCGTAGAAAGAAGGTTGAACCTTTATTACGTGTCTGCGGTATTGCACATTGCACGTGACTGAGCTTTTACAGGAAATACGAGGGTAAACCTGTTTTCGGTTTTCGCCCGACCAATAAATATCTGCATTGATTCCAGAGATATTTAGGTTTGAAAAATATGTTAAATACGCAAAAGAGAGGACTGATGATGTCATACACGCAACCCAATATTACATCAAGTATAGACCCTATTCATAGGTGGCTGCGAAGTTCAGATTCTTTTGTATGCATTTAAATTAGCCCAACTAACCTCGTTTGAGGTTACAAATTCTTTTTAATAGCAGATTTGCGCGTTGGCGTTGACTACAACAACCAGAATTTCCTTCGTTGCTTTTTTATTTTTTAAATTTTGAATTCCCAGTGGGGTTTAAATAACAATTACCCTAATCAACATAAGGATTCTGGTAGTTGAAGTCAAATGACGCCATCATGCAAGTCGCCTATTATCAACTCAAAAAGGAGGTTAGTTGGGCTAATTTTAATACTTACAAAATAATTTTTAACAGCCCTTTTCACGGTTGATTTTTCTCATTTGCATTACAATGTAATCCATCGTGGATGCGAGATAATTTCGGGCTAAAACTACACAATAGCCCGAAATTGCCTCACATACATGCTAGATTTTATTGTAATGCAAAGGAGCAAAGGTAGCAGAAACCATTGAAACTTGGTAGGCTAATAGTTCAACAGGTAACACCCCTACGGCTATAACAAATTTTGTTCCCATGGCAACTCAATATTTTCCAGTCCCCTCCAACCTGATTAAGTGATTTTAAGTTCGAAAAACATTTAACAAGGACACGAACTCGACCTAACATTTACATGTTTGCTACATCATGCAGATGATGCAAAATTGGCAAATATCAAAATGGAATGCCGAGGATGGCCAGAAAAGCCTTTAATATCAGGAAGGTCTGGAACACAGCATATTGTCATGGTAACAAAACCGTTAAGCTCATATTGTGGTGCTCATCTAGCAGAAACTTACTGGAAAGAATCAAACATTTCTGATACAAATTAGCGGAGTTACCTTTCATCATATTTGACCAACAATATGTTGAGTTTATGACGTCATTACTTGGTTAATTTTCATATTTAAAAAACTTGAATATCCCTGGAATGACAAGGCATTGAGAAAAATCAACTGTGTTTTTTTTCTAGAACAGACTACTTGTTTATGTTTAAAGATGGCTTAGATAGGTATAATGCGAATTTTGTCATAGTAGCACTTTAGGGGTTCGCGCCCTTTGGCGGAAAAAATACAGTCATCTATGTAACATGTTCAACGCCACTAGCTCTTTCTAGCACAGCTACATAACTCAAATTTGGTCAATGCGCTCCTTTGTCTAATATCTTAAGCTTTCTATTCACGAATTGTTCAGAATTNCGACGAACGAGGAGACGAACGAACGAACAAACGACAACATAATCGTAGGCAGAGTGCATGGACGAGAAATCTTAATCTCCGATTTGTGTTTATTTTATTTTAGATTTGATTGCTTTACAACTAAAAGTCGTACTGTTTCTAAGTTAGAAACGTCTTGAGACACTGTTGCCTCATATCGTTGATTGTTGTTGATGTTTGTCATCAGGCCATGCGTCTTGTCCAAGCCTGTGTGGATGTGTTGAGTAGCAATGGATGGCTTTCTCCTGCACTGGCCGCTATGGAGCTCGCCCAAATGGTAAGAACAATTTCCCTGGATAATGAAACATTTTCAGACATCTGCATGTGTATATCAAGCGATTTAGGATCGAACAGTCCGTGGAGAGTTATTGAAGGACAAGCTAAGGCAATACTAAATGTTCTTACAAACACGTTGGAGTTTAATTTTCACCTATTCAACCAAGCAGTGATTTAGTTCGAAATTGGATCATGTTTTTTTTTTTTATTGGAAGACAGGGGTATTCGGTATTGGTGATTTGCCCCTTACGTCAATTTGGGATTACCTTATGTAACTGGCATTAAAAATTTGTGTCCAATCCTTAGGAACAGGGGAATACTTTTTGTCTTTATTTAGGTCACACAGGCCATGTGGAGCAAAGATTCCTATCTGAAACAGATTCCTCATTTCAACCCAGAAATTATCAAACGATGCGTGGACAAGGTATGTATGGTCACATACTAGAATTTCATCCTTGAACTTGAAAGTTAGAATCATCGTATACAGCACAAAAGACAGTACCTCATGATGCTCAATAGCTTTCATGTGTATTGATCTCACAATGATAGTGGTGTTTCATTCACAAATGAGGAGTAACAGCAGTCTTACCAAAGCTGTTTTATCGTTATTACAGGGAGTGGAGTCTGTGTTTGACATCATGGACTTGGAAGATGAGGAAAGAAACAAACTACTGAGGCTGGATGACAGTCAGATGCAGGTTAGAGAGTGTAATATTAGTATTTACACGTACAACTAGTACCAGTCTGCTACTTTATAGCAGTCAAGAGCTTAGACAGTGTCTGTCTGTCTGACTGTGTGTCTGACTTTTTAACTGGGTGTCGGGCTGTGTCTGTCTGACTGACTGTCTGTCTGTCTGTCTGTCATGCAATTCAGACATTAACTTCTTGTGTGTATGAACCTGTTTGGTTGCAGGATGTGGCCAGGTTTTGTAATCGTTATCCCAACATAGAATTGTCATTTGAGGTTCATGACAAGGACAACATCACAGCGTAAGTTAACAGCAGGTGATTTGTTTACGTGTTATTTGCAACAAGGATTGTAGCTTGATTTGTGTGGTTCAATATTTTCAGGGGCGCTCCTGTGAATGTTATTGTGGACCTTGACCGAGAAGATGAGCAACCTGGCCCGGTCATTGCACCGTTCTTTCCTCAGAAGCGGGAGGAGGGCTGGTGGCTAGTTGTTGGCGACACGAAAAACAATGGGTAAGATTTCTTGATCCTCTTTTGCCCAAATGTTGTTGTACGTTCGTTTTTTTGCAAACCTTTTATGCTTCATAAGATTCCTCATTACTCAAAGGTGCCCTTGCAACAAATACATTTATATACACCTTTGAGGTAGATGAAATAATTTGTTAGGCTTTGACATACGATGAGGTAATTTATTAGGCTTTTTTTGCCGAAATGAGTCTGCGAACGAATGTAAAGTCTTAAGTCAAAATTTTGAAGTCAGAAGTCAGGCCAAAATTTTATGCGTTATTGTGGGTTTGAATGGTTTACACAATTGGGAAACCAATATTGATATGTTAAAACGTGTTGCATATTAATCATTCTAGTGAAACGCAGTTTGTTAATAAACTTCATCAAAATAACCAAAGACGATTGTTTTTTACCGTTCAGGTTGATTTCCATCAAGCGTTTAACGCTCCAACAGAAGGCCAAAGTGAAGCTGGACTTTGTAGCTCCAAGCTCGCCTGGGAACTACTCGTACACGCTGTTCTTTATGTGCGACACGTACATGGGATGCGATCAGGAATATCCGTTCAAGATTAACGTGGGAGAGGCTGTCAGTGGAGACGAGGACAGCGGAGACAGTGATGCTGAGGATTAGAGCTTAGGCTTGACAAATGACCTAAGCGATGTTTAGTATCAGGGACCCGACGATTTCCGTCGAGTTTCCGATGTGTACGTTTTTGCGTGACAACCAGAATTCGGGTGACGCAATCCATTTCCCCTGATGGTATTCATGTTTGTAAAGGTTCAAGGATGTCTACGAAAAGCAGAGTTTGGCTCTACGCTGCCACTGTACATATTTCGTCTTGCAGCTGTAACTTTAAAAGTAGAAATCGTGCCATTCCGTGTACTTTGTGTTCAGCAACGAATTGTGTCAAGATACTTCGGAACTAATGTAGAATGATTGCAGGATTTCAAAACCCATCGCAAACGTTTTAGAAAGAAACGGTTACAACCCCTCCCACCCGTCTCTTGTTGAAACACACATCACCCCACTTGACCCCAAGCAATAACGGCCAGTGCAGGCAAACCTGCAGTCAATATTCCCCTCACTTCTTTGTTACATCATTTATAGATCTGTAAAGTTTGCCTGTAGATTTTAAGAGTGCATAAAAATGGAAAAACCTTTTTACAGACTTCATGTGTGGATCTGAATTTGTCAAAGAACAAGACGATCTAAGATCGTAAGTCGAGCTGTAGCTAGACGTGCTGCTACAATTACAAGTTGTTGATCGCAGCGGTTCTAAAAATAGCACGTGTGATATGTACACGTTTGGTAATTTATAATTATACAGGACTTTGCCACTGAGTAACACATAACATAAACCCCTACAGAACAGCATTGTTTACAAGAGCAGTTGTGTTCTTCTCGGTCCCACTAACCTTTGTGTTGTAAACTCTGCTCAGGGTAAAGATTATTATTATTTCTTTATTATCCATCTCTTTAATTTGTACCAGGTCATTACAGCGATTTATTCCATTTATCTTATTTTAACTCAAAGCACTCAAACTCGTAGCAGCACGTTGTTGACCATTGGTTACCAGAATTTTCACCAAAGTACATAATATCACCTTGACTATTGTTAATATAACAAACATCGCATAACGAGACCTGATATTTCCTTTTCAACATCATTTTGTTGCACACACAACGCTGATTCATCACTCTTTTGTTGTATACATAGCGTTGCTTTGCCCAACACCTCATATTCACGTGACACCACGTTATCTGATACCAAACAAACATTCCTGCACACAACGCGCGAATGTAATGTACACACAAAAGCGACAAAACTAATGGCATTATTAGCAAAATAACAGCTTACAATGAACTCTGTTTGAGCAAAAACATAGTAAATGTAATAATCATGAAAGGGTTCACATAAAAATGACAATTAAGTGCGTTTATCTTCACTCTGATGAAAACCACTTTTGCAGTCCAACATGGCATCTTTGTTGTCGTCTCCTAGAGTTTGATCACGACGCACCTTGTCTTTATCAGCACCAAAAACTTCCGTAAATGTTCTTTTGTCGTCTGTTCATTGATAATTCATTGATATCCGACATATCTTTTCCTTTCGAATTCGACATCGTAGAAAGAAGGTTGAACCTTTATTACGTGTCTGCGGTATTGCACATTGCACGTGACTGAGCTTTTACAGGAAATACGAGGGTAAACCTGTTTTCGGTTTTCGCCCGACCAATAAATATCTGCATTGATTCCAGAGATATTTAGGTTTGAAAAATATGTTAAATACGCAAAAGAGAGGACTGATGATGTCATACACGCAACCCAATATTACATCAAGTATAGACCCTATTCATAGGTGGCTGCGAAGTTCAGATTCTTTTGTATGCATTTAAATTAGCCCAACTAACCTCGTTTGAGGTTACAAATTCTTTTTAATAGCAGATTTGCGCGTTGGCGTTGACTACAACAACCAGAATTTCCTTCGTTGCTTTTTTATTTTTTAAATTTTGAATTCCCAGTGGGGTTTAAATAACAATTACCCTAATCAACATAAGGATTCTGGTAGTTGAAGTCAAATGACGCCATCATGCAAGTCGCCTATTATCAACTCAAAAAGGAGGTTAGTTGGGCTAATTTTAATACTTACAAAATAATTTTTAACAGCCCTTTTCACGGTTGATTTTTCTCATTTGCATTACAATGTAATCCAACGTGGATGCGAGATAATTTCGGGCTAAAACTACACAATAGCCCGAAATTGCCTCACATACATGCTAGATTTTATTGTAATGCAAAGGAGCAAAGGTAGCAGAAACCATTGAAACTTGGTAGGCTAATAGTTCAACAGGTAACACCCCTACGGCTATAACAAATTTTGTTCCCATGGCAACTCAATATTTTCCAGTCCCCTCCAACCTGATTAAGTGATTTTAAGTTCGAAAAACATTTAACAAGGACACGAACTCGACCTAACATTTACATGTTTGCTACATCATGCAGATGATGCAAAATTGGCAAATATCAAAATGGAATGCCGAGGATGGCCAGAAAAGCCTTTAATATCAGGAAGGTCTGGAACACAGCATATTGTCATGGTAACAAAACCGTTAAGCTCATATTGTGGTGCTCATCTAGCAGAAACTTACTGGAAAGAATCAAACATTTCTGATACAAATTAGCGGAGTTACCTTTCATCATATTTGACCAACAATATGTTGAGTTTATGACGTCATTACTTGGTTAATTTTCATATTTAAAAAACTTGAATATCCCTGGAATGACAAGGCATTGAGAAAAATCAACTGTGTTTTTTTTCTAGAACAGACTACTTGTTTATGTTTAAAGATGGCTTAGATAGGTATAATGCGAATTTTGTCATAGTAGCACTTTAGGGGTTCGCGCCCTTTGGCGGAAAAAATACAGTCATCTATGTAACATGTTCAACGCCACTAGCTCTTTCTAGCACAGCTACATAACTCAAATTTGGTCAATGCGCTCCTTTGTCTAATATCTTAAGCTTTCTATTCACGAATTGTTCAGAATTTGAGTTTTAAGGAAATAATTTGCCATCGGATTCCCATACAAACCAGCTACTGACCCTTGTCGCCTACCTGTCAAGATGGCTTTCAAAAACCGTGATAAGGTCTATTGCAACGATTTCAAACGGGGATAACTTTAATCCTATTGTTAGTAAACGTTTTAATCGGGAATGTGTATTTTCGTCTGAACGGACATTTGGACTGAACCTAGCAAGAAACGCTCTGGAAATTTTGAGAATGTAATCTGGAGAGCACTGCTTGGCTTGCGAGAACGGAAACTCGCCACGATTTCCTGGTACACGCTGATCTACTTCAATGGTCTCCTTACGGACTTCAAGGACGAGACAGTACTTGATTCCAGCAGTAGTTGTATTCTGTCAACTTTGTAATCGAAATTATATCGCTCAAGTTTTTGCTGACTGAACAATTCTTGCAATAGAAGAATTATTACTTTCAATGTGTCGGAACTCCAGAGTAATAATTTTTCGTTTCAATAGCAAAACTCAATGACAGAAGTTTCTGTTATTGTGCGGCTGCCATGTTGGTGCCTCACGGAAGGGCACCAACATGGCGTCTCCATACAAAGCTCTATAAATTTGGGTGAAACACTTTTCCGAATAAACGCGCGAATGGAAAACCGCATAGACCAAGATCTTGGCAAGGTTGTTTATATTTCAATCATCTATCATATCCCAGATTTTTGACGTATTAATTGAATGGCTATGATTCTTAATTTCTTTGGATTGCGAGACAGAACAAACCGGCAATTTTATACTAATGGTCCCGCGAATATTCTGGAATAGTACATCAGCTAAGTGCACAGTGAATGTTACACACGAGTTGAAATGACTAAACATTAGTTACAGCATATACATTTCACGTGTCACAATTGTCTCAGCAGTTCGGTAAAGAATTCTAAATTAGATTTACTAGTGATCAGTACTTTTACTAGACTATTCCATCATCAGTGGTACAATCACTAACTGTCAGTATTTTTACTGACGTGCTTAGGACAACATTGTAACATATCCCCTGACACTGTTAAATTCTGAAGCTAATATTGATAACGATGAGAAGTTCTCCGGTTTATTCGGTTCAGTTGCACTTGCTCTTCACAGTTGATAGATTTTGCGAAAGTCATTAAAGCGCCGTTTCAGTAGACAATTTTCCTGTAACTTGCCTGGAATTTACAAACCAAGATCATTGAACGAAAAATTTCTGTCTCACAAGGTTTTGCTGATGTAACCCTTGCACAAGGTGGAATCAATTAGTTTTCGCAACCATCACTGCGGCAAAGAAGTAATGACAACAAATTAAAAAAAAAAAAGACAAAAAATTGCGAGATATGTTTGGTTTACTTTAATGCGACAGGGCTTTAACCAAGTTGTCGGTAGCATTACCATTTGCGCCGCTTAATAGCGTAAACGGGCAACCCAGCTCGATATATCCATTTCCTCTTTATCAGCGTCCATCTTTCCAAGATCAACTGATTAAATGCAACGTTTTACTCAGGGCTGGGTCTTATCAGTTGCAAAACTGAGCTGGAGGTAATCTTATATTCACAGGTCGACAATCAGTAGACTGACCATCGGCAATCATTCGAGTGGAGGCTTTAAGAAAATACCTTTCGTTGTGCCACCGCCGCGAAAAATTGAACTTACTTTTTCTGTGCAAAACGTTTTCTGTGATAGAATTGTTGCGAACATGTTCGATGGCACGTTTTCTTCGGGCTTTCATTAAAAAATTGAGTTCCCTTAACCTGGCCAAAATTAAGGGCATTATGAAATTCAAATTAGCCAGTAATTAACAGGAACCACGGGTGCCAAGTTTCATGTTTGGTCTGTGTCGCATTAACTTGGAAACTTTTCAATAACCGTCATTGCCAAAGATATTAATTAGTATTTTAAATACTTCCGCACTCCTCGATGGCTCGATTTCCAGCCGCTGATTGGAAAAAGAGCCCGCGTTCCAAAAGGCGCGATGGAAATCAAGTGTATACCTCTTGAAAATGTCAGAGGCTAACCTGTCTGGAGAAAGTCACCCATTCTCCACTGTCTGTTTTCTGTCTGTGCGTAAGAATTGAAACAATTCGGTGAAATATCATTGGTATTACAGCTTCTTTTAATCGGAAGTAGACTTTCATCGCAGGATTATTTTTCTATTGTGTATTTAATGTTTTTTCCTGACATTTGTGCCACTATCGATGTGAAATATTTAAATTACATTTAGTTTAAAAAACAGCGGTCTCATCACTTCCGCCAATTTGAATTCTGTCAAAAGTTCTCGTAGTGTGTTTTTATCTTGGCTTGTGCTTGATTCGCGGCCGGGTTAGCTGCAAGATAAAACGCGCTTCGAACTTTGACCTATTTTCAGGGTAAATCTGAAGCCGAGGGGCATTTGAAAGACTCGTACAAATTACTGCTTGAGGAGGGTACATTTAAACATTGACTTTTCATATCTTTTCTCTGACGCCGGCTTCGAAAGAACTGAGAAATAATTCAGAATCTACCCGCGCATAGAACCTTGCCGAGATTTCCACAAAATAGCAAGAGGTAAGATCTTAATTTTTGTTTCGATTCCATCCAGCATTTGCTTCGCCTCTCTGTTGAGACGACTTTATCAATACGGTAT